GTGTGTGTGTCTGACTCAATTGACACATATTGCATATTAGTATCGGAACAAACAGGCTGAATGGTATCATTTTTATTTCTAGGATTAGATTTCTTTCCTGGGCTGGAGCTATAGAACAGCGGGAAGGGTGTTTGCCTTGCACGCGGCCGACCCGGGTTCAATTCCTCCGTCCCTCTCGGAGAGCCCGGCAAGCTACCGAGAGTATCCCGCCTGCACAACAGAGCCTGGCAAGCTCCCTGTGGCATATTCAATATGCCAAAAACAGTAATAAGTCTCAATGGAGACATTACTGGTACCCGCTCAAGCAAATCGATGAACAACGGGACTGCAGTGCTGCAGTGCTGTTCTTTTCCCGTAGGACGTTTTGTGCCTGCAAGAGTACGGGATGTGGCCTTGACCAGGGCCCACACTTTCCTCTCCGATCTAAGTCAGAGCCCTGCTGCAGACCTTTCCTTCCACGCTGCCGGCTCAGCTCTGCCTTAAGCGCCTTGGTGCCTTGATGCTCACCGCTCCTTTCTTTAACATTTTGCCCTGAAAATGTGCATGAGACTAGAGCATAGTACAGTGGATAGGGCACTGGCTTTGCACACGGCCAACCTGGGTTCGATCCCTGGCACCTCGCATGATCCCTCCCAGCCCCGCCAGGAGTGATTCCTGAGCACCTCCGAGCGTGGCCCCAAAACCATACATAAAAAGCAGAGAAAATGTACATGATCAGTAGATGTAACTGCTCAGATCTCAACCCAGGTGGGGCCCTTGGAATGGTCTTCCTTGGCCTTGGATCCCTCTGTAGTCATTCCTTCACACGCCCAGCAAACTGTGTCTTGATTTTTTTTTTTCCATCTGTTTCCTATTGCCGGGTTTAAGCTCCTCGATCAAGAGATTTCTGGATCTGTCCTGTTCACATAAGAGGTATCCAGTAAATATTTGTTGATTGAATGATACATGGGGGAAATTATATGCTGGCTTGTACCTTTCCCTATTTGTTCTATATTAATTTAGTCTCTCTAAATAGATTTAATGCTTTCAAAACAGAAACCGGGCTCTTCTCTCCCCCTCGAGCCCGTCCCATGGCCGCGGAAGCGCTCGGTAAATATCACGTTCGCTGGCTTGGTGGATCAGTCATGCTGAGATCTCAAGCTGCTGGCATGGTGCTCCCCTCTCCCGCAGCGAGGGGGTAAACAGTGTCAGGCGAAAGGAAATTAGGCTCCGAGAGGCTCTTCAGGAGAAGCACTCGCTGGCGGGATGACTTCCCGGGGACAGAATCACCATTAGATTTTCTTAAAAAGATTTGTTCTCTTCTAATTCTGAATGGGCGCGCTACATGTTCATTAGGGCAAAAAGTGAACAATATGTAAAAGAAGAAAGAGGACTAAGGTGCAGGGAAACCACCTTGTCAACCTCCCTTTTGCATGATAAAAATGCCCCAATGAGGAATCGTGGGCATGGCAGGGTGCACTTCCAAGAACTCCGCCACCAGTGTTCTGTTTAACGATGAAAATAGGATGTTTTGGGGCTGGAGCAATAGCACAGCGGGTAGGGCATTTGCCTTACATGCGGCCAACCTGGGTTCGATTCCCAGCATCCCATATGGTCCCCCGAGCATCACCAGGAGTGATTCCTGAGTGCACAACCAGGAGTAACCCCTTTGCATCGCCAGGTGTGACCCAAAAAAAAAGCGAAAAAAGAAAAAAATAGGATGTTTCTTCCTTGCTATCAGGTAAAAGATATGATGGCCACCAAAATGCATACGTCTTTCTTTTTTTTGGGGGGGTCATACCCAGCGATGCTCAGGGGCTACCCCTGGCTCGTGCACTCAGGAATTACTCCTGGTGGTGCTCAGGGGACCATATGGGATGCTGGGAATTGAACCCAGGTAGGCCGTGTGCAAGGCAAACACCCTACCTGCTGTGCTATCACTCCAGCCCCGCATACATCTTTCTAACACTGGACTCGAGGCCTGGCCAGGGCACTCAGGCAATGAAATGAAATAAAAGGCCTGCAGTTGGGCCGGAGCCATAGTACAGAGGGAATGGTGCTTGCCTCGCACACAGCCAACCCGGGTTCCATCCCTGGCATTCCTTCTGGTCCCCTGAGCACTGCCAGGAGTAACCCCTGGGCATCTCTGGGTGTGGCCCAAACTACTCCCCACCAAAAAAAAAAAGAAGTCAATCATCCTGAAAAGTGGCGAGGGGGGACAAGTGTAGTTTTCTGTTTTAAAGCTCACTGCAAAGCAGTGATAATGAAGATAGTGCAGTGCTGGCATAAATCAATAGAATAAAATTGGAAATCTCAGGTGTCTCTGGCTAACCGATTTCCAGCATGAGCACCACAGCGACGGAATGGGGAAAAAAACAGACTCAGTCGGTGGTCCTCAGAAATCAGATGTCGAGAGCCAAAAGGATGAAGCTGCTTCCTTAATCTCACACCACATACAATTTAAGGACTCAAACTCTTAAAAGCCTTAGACAAAAACATAGATTAAATCTTGGTGATACTGCATTTGGCAGTGTTTCTTATGTAGGATTTTTTTTTAAGAGAAAGCACAATTAAAAACAGAAAATGATAAGTATCTTGGACTTTATCAAAATGAAAACCTTTTCTTCTTCAAAGTGCACTATATAAAGAAAATGAGGAGACAGCATTTAGAATGGAATGCTTGCAGATTATATATATTTGTAAAGGGACATCTGTCTAGAATGAAGAACTGTTATAACTTGGTTATAAAGAGAATTAAGCTAATTTTAAAATGGGCAAAGAATGCAAGTAGATCTTTCTCCAGAGGTAGAGGTCGAGAGAGAGAGAGAGAGAGAGAGAGAGAGAGGCAGAACCAGATAGACAGACAAGCAGGCAGGAAGACAGAGAGAGACAACCCTGGTTTAATCCTTGGCACCATGCGGACCCCCAGCCTTGAGCTGGGAGCAGCCCTCGAGCACTGCCAGTCCTGTCCTAAAAACCAAAAGGGAGAAAAGGGAAGGTATACATTGACGACCAAGAAAATCTGCTTGAGTCATTAATTATTAGGGAAATGCGACTCAAAGGCAAAATGAGATCTAGCACTCACACCCACCCACTAGGACGACTGGCAACAGAGTGCCAGCTAACACACATGGGCAAACGGCTCCGGAAATCATACGGTTTGTACACCACTCTGGGAATGCAAAATGGTTCAGCCACATAGGAGAACGACCTGACAGTCCCTTGCTCAGAAGGCCCAGCCTGAGGCCAGAGAGACCTTGACCCCTCCTGACTCCCGGCTGGCTCTGGCTCCATCCCTGGCAAGGCCTGGTTCTCCCGAGCTTCTCTGGGAATGACCCCTGAGCCCCCAGGCCCCATCAGGTCTGACCCCAAACTGCCCTCCTCCCAAAAAAGTTTGAACAGAGAGATGCCTTTGCCTGGATCTAATATGCAGTAAGGAGACGAAAACCCATTCCTCCCCTCCAAGGCCAGGCCTGGGAGAACACCTTTACCGCAGCACTAGCCAGTGCCAAGACAAGGCGATCACCCTCGTGTCCAGGGCGAAGGGCCAGAGAGCTCAGTGTTTCCCTCAGTGTGACGATAAGGCTGAGCCCTGAGAAACATCACCCTCGGAGAAAAGCTGGTCACAGGGGGCTGGGTGTTGCCCGGAGCACATCCCAGTCTGTGTGCGGCCCTGAACTCATCTCTGGCTCACAGCACCACACACCAACAGGTATACCCATGTGGGGTGGCCCGGCTGTGCATTTTCAGTGCTCTGGTGGATGTGGCCCCTTCACAAGGCTTCTGTTTGGTTTGGGGGCCACGTAGTGATGCTCAGGGCTTGCTCCAGGCTCTGTGTCCAGGAATCACTCCTAGCTGACTAGGGAGAACAGATGGGATATGGGGAATCGAACCCAGGTTGGCCACGTGCTATCTCTCCAGCTCCATAGAAAGGGTTTTGTTGTTGTTGTTTTGGGAAGAGTAGCACATCGGGTAGGGTGCTTGCCTTGCACGTGGCGGACCCGGTCGACGCAAGTTATTGAGTCCTCCGCCCCTCTTGGAGAGCCCAGCAAGCTACCGAGAGTATCTCGCCCATACAGCAGAGCCTGGCAAGCTCCCATCCTATATGCCAAACACAGTAACAACAAGTGTCACAATGTTACTGGGCCCGCTGGAGCAAATCAGTGAACAATGGGAGGACAGTGACAGTGAGAGTTTGGGGAGGGATATTGTTTGTTTCTTTCAAATTGGTCACAGTGATCACTGTTTTGATCCTATTTCCTTGAAGTATCCAGAGTATACAGATCCATAGAGAAAGGAAGTGTGTCTTGGGGGGCATAGCCGGGGTGGGGGGCGGGGAGGCCGGAAGGGCAGGGTGTGACGCAGACAGCTGAAGGGACAGGAGCGGGTTTCTTGTCCAGGTGATGGCTGCTCATGCCTGTGAATAGACTAAAATGTCGAGTTGTACATTTTAAATGGGTGAATTGTGTGTGAGTTGAATATCTCCGTAAAGCAGTTTCAAAAATTGAAAGAGACAAGAGAATAGAGCTGCCCATACCCCCGCCATCCCGGAAATAACTTTCATTTGCATTTCCATCCGTTTCTTTCCCATCTTTTTTTAGTGCACATTTTAAAAGTAATTTAGGCTGTGCTTCAGTACAGAATACTGACTTTTTGTGACTTTTGTGTCATCCGCGCTTGTTCATTTTTCTGCCGGCTCCTAATTGTCCGCAAGTGTGTAACATTCCATTGAGATATCCCATAATTAGTCCTATTTTCTCATTGGTACATATTTGAATCATCTTAATTTTCCTTTTCATCTCTTCTGTGGTGGATGCTACAGTAAATATGTTTGTCTTGGGGGCCTGGGGGGGGGGGGGGAACGACACTTGACAGTGCTCAGGGGTTCCTCGTGGCTCCCAGAGGTGCTCAGGATGAAACCAGAGCCGGCGTGCACAGTGCGTGCCTTAGCCCGTGGTGACTATGTCTCTGGCCCATGTTTATGGCCTTGAAGGGCCTCACGTGAAACCTCTCGTCCCCAGAGAAAAGAAGATTTCCCGGAGCAGCGCCCTCAAAGTCCTGGACCATGCCATGATCGGCCCCGAGGGCACCGACAACTGCCATAAGTTTGTGGATATTCTTGGCCTGCGAACCATCTTCCCCCTCTTCATGAAATCCCCCCGGAAGATCAAGAAGGTCGGCACGACGGAGAAGGAGCACGAAGGTGGGTTCCTGGGAGCAGCCCTCCCGGTCGGGGGCATCAGGAGGAAGGGGGAGCCGGAGCTGTGTTGGGGCCCGGCAGGAGGAGGGTTGCCTATTTCCAGTGTCTTACTTCCTGTGCATGTTTGTTTTTTTTTTTTTTTTTTAAAGGGCATCCCGGGTATCTCTGGTCCTCTGCAGCCCTTGTTTCACCTTCGTTCTCTGTTGGCTAGAATTGTGGTGGCTCCTTTTTCCTTCTGGCCTGTGAGTCTCCAGGCAGAGGTTGTGTCATCTCGTCAGCCGTCACCAGTGTCTCTCTGATCAAAGACCCTTTTGGGAAGAGTGACGAGGTGGCAGCAGCACTTGTCACTTCCGGCAAGGCCCCTTCACGTATTTCTGTATTGAAGTCGAATTCAGCCGACACCAGGAATCCCCCAAACTATTGACTGCTGCCCAGCTTCCCCCCCTCGATGTTTTTCCTCCCCGACGGGACGCGTTCCCAGCAGAGAGCTGCCAGAGGGACCCGTCTCAGCCTGCTGCGCCGTCTGTTCTTCCATAAGTACCCACTGTTAACCCCCACTCCGTCCCCCGCCTCCACCCCTGAGCCACCACTGATGGTGATGCTGGGGGAGTTACAGGACCGCAGGGTTTTATTTGGTATGTGGCAAAGGGCAGGGGGAAGATAGGGAGAGGGAGGGGGAAGGCTGAGCCCACCCCGCGGCTGATGGGCTGGCGTGTCAGAGGAAACATCCGTCCCGTGCTCTGGGAGAACGCCTCCTGCCCATGGTCGGGAAGCTGGTGCCTGCAGGATCTTTCGCCGTCCTCACCTGCCTGCCTCAAAGCACCTGTCTGTCTCAAACGCAGCGTGATCTCACTTACCTCTGGCATACGAAGTGATGAGGAGATGTCGTGGAGTAAAGGGGGGATGCCTAGGTCACCCTTGACCCCAGAGTTTAGGGAGGAGAAGGACAGAGATGGAAAGAAATCAAGGAAGGGTGGGGGAGATAAGGGGAAGTGATGGGCGAGCAGGGGTTGGGGCTTCCGTTGTGCTGTTGGCGTGGAGAGACTCAGCGACCCGGAAAACATATACTCTACACCGAAACCACTGAACTCTGTAATGTGCCTATCCAGGCGGCAGGTGGGGGACGGGACGGACGGAATAGGGGCACACTGGGGGAGGGAAGGTGACACGGGTAGGGGGGATTAGTGTTGATGTATTTATTATATGCCTAAAACTCAACTACCAAGTTGAGTTTTTGTAAGTCACAGTTCTTTGATGAAATTAAAAATAATTTTTTTTGAGGGAGCAGGTGAGAGACCAAAAAAAAAAAAATCCTCCTCCTGTCTGTTCTTCTCAGCTGGAAGGAAGGTGGTCTGTACTCTGGAGGTCACTTTCCTTCTCTCCTTCTCCCACTGACTCAGTTCTCCAGGGCCAGCAGGGAGTTAGGGAAGGCAGGACTGGGCAGGGCAGAGAACTGTAGCCTAAAGATCCAAGAAGGAGAGGAGGTTCTGGTCACCCCCACGGAGAGAGGCCAGGCACTGCCCAGAGACAGCCGAGCCTCTGTGGGGCTTTTTGTCCAGTCCTCTGTGGAAATTCAGAGGAGGAGGTCTTTGAGACGGCCTACGTCCTGGCCCCACTTCATTATACGCTTACTTAGGCCCCCGTGGGGTTTTCGCTGAGAGCACTCAGGAAGGAGCCAGCCCGGGGCTGCTTCTGAGGCCTCTGAAATGAAGGTGCTGGACTCCTGGACACAGGCTCTGATGTCTGTGTGTTAGACCCTGGTTGCCGGGGCTTTGTCCTGGAATCCCGGAAATGCCCCCGGGCCACCCTGCTGGTCCTGTTGAGGGCCTCGAGGTCATGCGGAAGCGTCTCCCGGCACAGACTCTGCCTCTCTGGGCACGGTCCTGAGCCGAGCAGTGACAGATTCAGCGAGCAGCTGTTTTCCTGTTGAGAGCTGTGCCCGGCGGCCGCGTGCTGGTAACAGTACATTTGGTTTCGAGTAGGCACGTTAGGAATTTGATAACAGGATATTAGTGAGGGCAATGGCTTGGTAAGACAGCTCCGGGGAGGCATGTGAGGCCGTAATGGGGCTGCCGACGATGCGTCTCTGCACCCCAGCCCAGCGGAGCCCAGAGAGAGGCGGACCCCACCAGGAGCATAGCCCTGGGCCACCCCCGCCCTGCACCCCGCCCTGATGCCAAGGGTTGGGCGGGCGGGAGGAGTGAGAGTGCAGGGCTTCCTCCTCCTCTCTCACCTGCCAGGCGTGTGTGTGTGTGTGTGTGTGTGTGTGTGTGTGTGTGTGTGTGAGAGAGAGAGAGAGAGAGAGAGAGAGAGTGAAGGAGAGAGAGATTGTGTACCTGTGCATTCCTGCTTATGGACTGATTGTATGTGTGTATGTGTGAGAGTGAGAGAGAGATTGTGTATGTGTCTGTGCGTACTTGTTATGGGCTGATTGTGTGTGTGTGTGTGTGTGTTTCTGCACATGAGCTGAGACTGTGTTTGTGTATGACTCTGTGTGTGTGTGTTGGATTCTTGCACATGGGCTGACTCTGTGTATGTGTGTGTGTGTTTGTGAGACTGTGTGTGTATACATGTGTGTGTTCCTGTGCGTGGGCTGGGCCATCACCTGGCACACAGGCACAGCTCAGCTGACACACAGCAGCCTCAGCCCAACCAGAGCACCCCTGCACCCCCCTCTAGTGCTCCCTGCCCCTCGCTCCCACCCTGCTCCGTCTGTAGCACCTCTCTGCCTGCCTGGCTGCCTCTGCGGGTCCTGGGTGTGAGTGCTGCTCTTGTTTTGCTTCGCTTTTGGGACCACACCTGGAGGTGCTCAGGGCTTACTCCTGGCTCTGCGCTCAGGAATTACTCCTGGCAGGGACAGGGCACCATATGGGCTGATGGGGACCAAAATCCAGGTTGGCCAGATGCGAGGCAAACACCCTACCCACCATGCTGTCTCTCTGGCCCGGGATATTAGTTTCTTAGGAAGTGTCCCAGGAGCCCCCATGGTCCAGGACTTCATAACCTTCAGATCGTGGAGCCAAGGGCCTTACCGCCTCTGGGTCCCAGGCGCTAGACCAGTGCTTGGCATGTGATATATTAACAAGTCAGTGTTTATTAACCGCAACAACTAATTAGCCACTTCCCTGAAAGACCGACATGAGTTTGGGGTTCTCCCTGGAGCCCCCCAGATTGAAGGTGTCAGTTCAGTTGTCAGCCTTACACATGAGGGACGTGGTCTTTCACCCAGCTTATGGTTATATTTTTTTGTTGTGGGGGTGCCACACCCCCATGGTCACTCAGCTTGTTTAGAAGCTAAACAAATGGTGGTCAACGTAAATTGTCTCCAGGCCCCCGCTAGGACGTGCCGCAGTTAGTAACCCATCAGCTAACTCAGCACCATAGCCAGGAACCAGCCAGTCGGAAGCTCTGGGGGGCTGCCCTCAGCCTTTCTTTTTTGTCCGGCCTCTGGATTCGGTGTATCGGGGTCTGCCTCTGTCACTTCATGCTGGCCCAGTCTCAGCCCCTGGCCTGTCTCAGGATTATCACCCAGAAAAGCACAAGAAAGAGGGGGGCTTTATGGGCCAGAAACCCCCATGGGGCAAGCACGCGTGTCCCTGTCACGGGCTGTCGAGCCAACTTCCACACAGAGGGGGTGCTCTCTGGAGAGCCCCAAACAGGAGAGGGGGCTTGGCTTTGTGCTCGATAGACTCGGGGTGACTTAACAGCCTTACGTCTTTAGTGGTTGGGGGGACACTCAGGTATATATGTATGGGGAACGACAGTGTCGTGATGCCGCATGCAGTAGAGGAGCATCGGGTGATGCCCATCACGGGTACAGAAAACGTGGAGGGATGTGAGTTAGGGCTGTGTTTGGAGCGCGGAGAGGAGAGGGGCCTCCGGACCGGAGGGCGCCCCGCCTTTGTGCGGTCCCCACTGCCCCATTGCCCAGCAGGCAGGGCCCTGGGCTCCTGGGGATGCAGAAGCATTTCCTGAGCGAGGCAGCTTCTCCCAGGGAGGGGGCGCACCCTCCAGACACACCCCTCCCCAGTCTCTGCCCCTCACCTCCAGCGTCCTTCCAAGGGCCGGTGTAAGGCTGGAGCGTGGGTCCAGGGTTGAAGAACACTTCGACTGTTGGATGATCAAGTCCATAGGGCTTTACCGAAACGCCTCCAGTAGCTTTGGGGCTCGGTGTGTGATGCCACCGCAGCTTGTCGCCCTGTGACATTGGACCAGCTCCTCGGCTCGGGGCCTCAGTTGCTCCTACAGTAGTGAGCCTAGATGCACCTTCCAGGGTGGGTGCAGGGCCGGGACTTGTGTGTGCCAGGCAGATACCGGAAGAGCGTGACAGGTGACACCCTGGCGTACACCCTGGGATCTACAGGTTCTCTCTTGGGCCAGGCCTGCCTCTTGTCCACCCTGGCCGTGGTGCTCACGGACCCATCCTCTCAGAGGTCAGAGGTCATAGGGAAGGCCAGGCCAGGAGACTGCCCACCTGTCCCTGGGCTCGGAGAGAGAGAACCAGAGCCTGCGGGTTGTGGTCTCACTGCCTGAGCAAGGGTGGGCTCATCTGTGGTTGGAAGGCCAGGGCGCTATGCTGAGTAGGGTGGCAGGAGGACAGCTGTGCACCCTGCACCCACAGAAGGGAGGGGGGGGAGAGGGAGAGAGGGAGAGAAAGGAGAGGGGAGAGATAGAAAGGCGAGATGAAATAGAAAGAGGAGAGGAAGGAGGGAGGAGAGAGAGAGAGAGCGAAAGAGAGAGAATGAATTTCTAGACTGAGGTGACTCCAGAGGAGGGAAGAAGCAAAAACCACTTTTATAACCTGGAATCGCTGGTAATTTAGTTCCTCTTGGCGAGTTTGGGTGGATAAGGAAAAGAAAGATTGTAATTGAATTCCATTCCGGTTTGCATAATAAAACCTTCAGGAATAGATCCGGGAGATTCTCCCTCTCGGGCTGGGCTGGAAAGGGGTGATTTGCCCTTGAGGCGGGCAGGGTGGCTGGCTCTGTGTCTTTAGAGGGAAG